GAGGGCGGCGCCAGGACCGCGTCATGGCCATCAGCGGCGGCCAGTGCAAGGACGACGGCATGAGCCTCGGTGGAAGCGCCGGCACGGTGCAGCAGCCTCGTGGCGAGGATGGCGGCGCTGGCTGCGCGGCTCGGGACGCCGCAGGGTGACCTCTGCCTTCTCGCGGAGGCGGCGGCGGCGAACGATGTCTCGCTGTCCCCCGCGGCGCTCGACATCCTCGCGTCTGTGCATGAGTTCATGCTGGCTCACCTTCGAGGCCTCCGTCCGTTCTTCTGATGGGCCTGCCCGTTCCTCACGACGGCTTCCTCGCGCTGCCGGAGGGCGGCCTCGCGGGCCAGGCTATTGGCCAGGCCCAACAAGAAGTGCTGACGCTTGTCGGCGTTAGCGCCAGCAGATCCAAGGGCGTGATGGATCGTGGCTGGCCATGCGGGTTCTCAGCTGAGCCGCCACGGCTTGATGCTCAGCCTTACAGTGTCCGTCCCGTGCGGACGCGGCCGCAGTCGGCGCCTTCTTCCCCCCCACCCCCTCCCCCTCTCCCCCTCCCTCCTCTCTCCTCCTCTCTCCTCCTGCTCCTCCTCCTCCTCCTCCTCCTGCTTCTCCTCCTCCTCCTCCTCCTCCTCCTCCTCCTCCTCCTCGCCCCCATCCTCCTCCTCCTCCTCCTCCTCCTGCTCCTGTCCTCCTCCTCCCTCCTCCTCTTTCCTCATCCTCCCTCCTCCTCCTCCTCCTCTTTCCTCCTCCTCCTCCTCCTCCTCCTCCTCCTCCTCTTTCCTCATCCTCCCGCCTCCTCCTCATCTTCCGTTCGCAGCCGTGTCTGGCCCAGGCCGCCCGGCCCCTGCTCCCTGGATGGCCCCGCCGGCCGCGCGACCCCGATGAGGGCCCTCCCGCCCCCCCTGAGGCCTCGCGGCGGATGGCGGGGCGCGCCCGAGAGGCCCTCCTCCCTCCTCGCCTCCCCCATCAGTCCCTCATTGTTTCCACACTATCCCTCGAAGAAACATAAACTTTCGGCGCTCCGCGCGGATTTCTTGGATCCGCGCTGGGCCCCTCCAGCGGCGCCTCCGGTGCCGCCATTGGCGCGCTCCGCGCGCCAGGGAGGGGGTCCAGCGCGGATCCAAGAAATCCGCGCCGACCTCCGAGTTTTTCTGTTTATGTCAATTTTCGTTCCCCTACTCATTGTTTCCACACTATCCCTCTCTTTGCCCCTCCTCGTCCTCCTCGTTATCCTGATTGCGCCCCTCCCTCCACTCACTCTCCTTCTCCTGCCTCCCTCAGTCCCTCCTCTAGCAACCCATGGCTGTGCGAGCTCACCTGTTCAGGCACGAACTGATGTATATACATACATCTACGTATAGTGCGTCACGCAACTCCCTAGCGCATGAAACTTTCCGTACCGTCGGATCTCAGTGTGAGGCTTTGGGTTGCGCGCAGACAGCCTTCCCAAGTAGTCACAGCTGGCCTCAACAGGCCCCCCGAGTAGTCTGGGGCGGTCTCAACACCCCCTCATCGATCTCCCCCTGCTGCTTTAGCTCTCGCCGCGGGCCGCTCGGGAGGGGGCAGGGCAGCGTCTCGGGAAGAACAAGCGCCCGCAACCGCTGATGATGCTGCTGCTGATGATGGTGATATGATGATGATGATGATGATGATGATGATGCTGATGATGATGATGATGCTGATGATGATGATGATGATGAGTATGATGATGATGCTTATGCTGCTGATGCTGCTGATGACGATGATGATGATGGTGACGATGATGATTATGATGTTGATGATTCTGATGATGGTTAACGCTTTGGATGTTGGTGATGATGATGATGATGATGATGATGATGATGATGATGATCCTGATGCTGCTGATGAGGATGACGACCATTATGATGATGCTGATGATGATGCTGATGACGATGATGATGCTGATGCTGATGCTGATGATAATGATGATGCTGATGATGATGATGATGTTGATGATTATCATGATGCTGATGATGCTGATGATGCTGATGATGCTGATGATGCTGCTGATGATGATGGTGATTCTGCTGATTAATCTTATTATGATATTGATGCTGCTGATGATGATGATGATGATGATGATGATGATGATGGTGATGATGATGATGATGATGATGATGATGGTGAGGTGGATGATGATGAAGATGAAGATTATGATGATGATGCTGATGATGATGATGCTGATGATGATGATGGTGGTGATGATGATGATGATGCTGATTGCGATGGTGATGGTGCTGGTGGTAGTGATGTCGGTGATGATGACGAGGATGCTGGCGCGAATGATGTTGATGTTGATGATGCTGCTGATGATGATGATTATGATGATGAGCATGATGATGACGATGACGATGCTGATGATGATGATGCTGATGATGATACTGGTGATGATGATGATGATGATGATGATGATGATGAGGATGAGGATGAGGATGATAATGAGGATGAGGATGAGGATGAGGATGAGGATGGCGATAATTACGATGTGGATGGTCACGGTCACTATGAAGATGATGCTGCTGCTGCTGATGATGATGATGAGGATGATGATGATGATGTTGCTGCTTCTGCTGCTGCTGATAATGATGCTGATGAGGATCTGATGATGATGCTGAGTCTGATGATGATTTTGATGACGCGCCTTGTGATTATGCCAGTGACGCTGATGCTTATGATGATGCTGATGCTGATGCTTGTGACACTGGTGGTTGTGATGATGATGGTGATTGTGATTGCGATGTGCTGGTGACTGTGATGATTATGATTAGATGATGATGCTGCTGCTGCTGATTCCGATGCTGATGGTGACGAGTGTTATGATGATGCTGATGATGCTGATTATGATGATGTGCTGATGATGATGCTGCTGATGATGATGATGATGATGCGGAGTTGGAGGAGGAGAAGGAGGAGAGGGAGGATGAGGAAGAGGAGGATAACAGGAGGGGGATGGAGGATGAGGAGGAGGAGGAGGAAAAGCACGAGGAGGACCACTGACCGGTGTAAACCCAAGACTCATCAACGATGCTGGAATCCACCCTTCCTCCAAGCTCCCATTTCAGAGGCCTCTACAAGGCTTCGTTTCCACTGAGGGAAAATGGCCCGTTGGGGGACTACCAGAGGAAAATGCTGAAGCGTGCTGAGACACCATTCCCAGGACTTCAACGACACGAGTCAACCTGCCTGTTGCTTCTTGACGGTCCTGAATCGTGCTAGAACGCCATTATTGGGACTTCAACATCGCGAGTCAACATCATTGTTGCGCCCTGACAATCTTGAATCGTTCCAGAACGCCATGTCTGGCAGGTTCGCCATCAGAGCCAGTGCAACTCTTGCAAATATTTGAAACGCAGTCCGCGGCGCTCAAGCGAGAGCCACATTTTGGAAACGACCTGTCCCTGAATGCGTGAAGGTCTTGCAAATGTTGAAAACGAATGTGCGCGGCGCTCAGGCGATAGCCACATTTTGAACACGACCTCCCTAAATTCTTGAAGCTCTTGAATGTACTAGGACGAATATGCGCGGCGCTGCGGCGAGAGTCACATCACCTGCCGTCAATCCGCGAACATGTTGTACATTTTGTATTTGAATGTAATCGAATGTGCGCGGCGCTCAGGCGAGAGGCACATCTTGAAAACGGCCTGTCCTCAATCCGTCAAGCACTTGCAAGTTTTTGAGAAGAATGTGCGCGGCGCGAAGGCCAGAGCCACATATTGAAAACAACCTGTCCTCAATCCATGCAGCTCATGCGTTTTCGAAAAACGAGTGTGTGCGGCTGTCAGGCGGGAGCCACATTTATTTGCCGTCTTCTGGCCCGGCTCCTCCTGGTTTCTCCGTCTCCCGTCATTCCCCTCTTTCTCCCTTGGTTGCCGAGGTGTGTAGTCCTTAGCTGGTGACCGGCCCACATTTTCTTTGCTCGGCGTTGAGGCTGCAGGGTAATCCGCAGCAGCCGCCGCAGCTCGCTCGGTGCTTCCGCTCGCCTTCTGTTCTCCGCGTTCCCTCCTCCTCTTCCTCTCCCTCTATGGCATGTGTGCGCGAAAATCAGATTGTGTTGTCATTCGATGTTTCACCTTGTCGCGCCAGTTTTGGACACATGCCCGGGCAATAGTTGTCACGGGAGCGCTTGCTTGTCCCGGCCGCGCGGCCGCAGCAGGACAATTTGGCGGTGCCGCCTCCTCCCTCTCCTCCCCCCAAAAGTGCAAGCCTGCTGTCAATTTGTAAGCTTGAGGCTCATACACGGAAAGGACGTCTCAGGGAGGAGATGATGTTCAGGAGGAAATGTAATGGATTGCTTTATGTGCCTCCTCCTCCCCCAGGGGAGCCATCTACACTGGCTTTCAGCCAGACCCGCCGCCGTTCCTGGGTTGTGGGTCTGGGCCCTCTTGGTTGCTTCTGAGTGCCTCTTGGGTTACCTCTTGGGGTCCTCTTGGAGGCCTCTTGGGGCCTATTGGGACATTTTGGGCGCCTCCTGGACGCCTCTTGTAGGCGACTCGTGATGGCTCGAAGGGCTCCGTCCCTGCTGCCCGAAGTGCTCCTCGCATCCCACCTCCCTCCATTCCTTCGCCCTCCCTCCCTCCGCCCCTCCGCAACGCGGCGAAAAATCACGACCAGCCCTAGATCCCACCTCCCTGCGCCGTGTTTCGAGCCGAATCGATGTGTGAGGGCCCCAGGGGCCGAGGAGGAGGAGGTGGGAAAGGAGGAGGAGGAGGAGGAGGAAGAGGAGGAGGAGGGGGAGGAGGAGGAGGGGGAGGAGCAGGAGGAGGAGGAGGAGGAGG